GATCTAGTTTTGTCTTGGCATATTCTGTTCAACCAGTCATGGAGAGATTGCACATGGATTGCCATTTGTGAAATTCTTGGAAGACACTCCAGCTCTAATATTCAAACTCGATGCATCCACTATCTCATTGGCACAACTACTTTCTTTTCCCATCTGTTAAAATGGCCCTATGCCCACTGATGTGGCGATATGCCAGTTTCGGTAGGATGTACAACCCAACAAAGCTGAATGGTTTGGATGAACTCATGAGTCTACAAGATAAAATCTGAACCTTCTAGTCAGTACCAGGATAGGAACTAAGTGCAGTGTACAAACGTGAGCAATACTATTGCAGAACACTTCTCCAGCTGAAATCTGTCAGATCTGATGGGAAGTGACACAGAGTGAATATGTGCTTATTGCCATGCACTTGGCACATATGAGGATGCAAGCAGTGAACTGTTGATTTGCTATGGTAGTCTGTAATGTAGTCATTACATTTTTGAGGCTTTTTTATTTTCTCAGGCAAGTTTTATAGTTTAAGATCTTCTCTGTGGTTTCTGCATATTTATTGCATTGTCATATATTTGCTTTAGATGCTTGCTTTGATCTGCATCCTGAGTGGTATTAAATACACATTTTTATAACTGTTATAAGGCTGATGCTTGCAAGAAATTGCACTTTTTCTTAGTTCTGCTTTTTGAAGGCTATCCTTGTCTGCGCCACCCTTTGGTAGTTTTGTTTCTGGAAGGAAACCAGAATTCTTTTGGCATCCTGCCAGAAGATGAACAGCATTGTAATGCTCTTTAACAGGGTTTCTGAAATGTTGTGTACTTCTATGTAAATATACTAACACTGGCTCTGTCAGTGACAACACCAGCTTTGTGGTGGTATCTTTAAAAGAAACCTTTTCCCACCATTTTTGGGAAAGCTGGAAACACTGAGAGTTGGACTCGATGATCTTGTGGGTCCCTTCCAACTCAGAATATTCTGTGATACTGCTTCTCACTTCCCTATAATCCCTTTACAACTACCCAATGCTGCAAAGTGATCTACAAATGTCTACAAACACTGATCACTTGCCTCAAGACAGGCTGTTGACACAACCACTTAAGTGGCAGCACCACCTCAGATTCTCAGCCTTCAGGAAACTGATATCTTCCACCAATGAAGATTTCTCCCTAGCAGAAGTTTCCTTGCAGTGTCAATGGTGTGGGCACTATCAGAAGAGGTTGTAGGCAGTGGAATTGCAAGATTGATGCTTTTCATCCTTTCAGACAACCTTTCTTGTTTCTGGGTGAAGTAGTGTCTGTTACTACTCTACTGACAATAGATAATCTTAGATTAAATTGCAATCAGGATTTCAAAGGATTTCAAACTGCTTTGTCGTACTAGCTGCCATCTGGTTAGAGCATTTGAAATGTAGGTAGTTTACATCTCTGCATTGACGGTGGTGGTAGCAGCAGCTTACAGGTGTTCATGCACTGAGCTGCTGAAGCACTGTTCGAGTACTACAGGTTCACAACAGAGAACTGGGAAGATGCTTTACTCAGGTTTTAACTTTACACTTTTCTATCTGTTTCCTCTCTCAGAAAGATGAGACTATACTTAAAACCATCCGGATTGCAAGTACTTTGAGCAACTAGTGGCAAAGCAATAATTAAATGAATTAAATTTTGTTGCTGCTTATACCATAATTGTTCTTGTTCTCTGTGACTCTCATCCTTAGAGGATACTATAGTTATCCTGGTTTTCCTCACATCTCTGCAGGCTATCCTTTAAACTATCAAGTTTGCTTTTTGGGTAGTGTGTTTCTTTTTCAGATTGAAAAATTAGGAGTGGCTGAAAGCAAATAAATTACTTCTTATCTGAATATCTCTTTAAACCATAGAACAGCTACACTCGTAGCCATATGACTTGGGTCTTCCTTGAAGTAATAGTCGAATACTGTGTTGTGAATTAGCAGTAAATACAGTGCTATAGTGGAAGAGGATGGCAGTACTTAACAGCACCACAAGATGTCATTCAAACAGTTTGTGGTGTAGACTGAAACTCAGTGAAACTCGGGTTTCTTAATTTCCTGCTAGAGGAAAATTCCCAATGAACAGCAAAAGTAAACTCATATGGTAGCATGTATTTCCTGCCAATTTAGCTTCCAAGTTTTATGGCTCTGAAATCAATTTGTAGTTCCTCTTTAAATGTTAAATTTAAACTCATTTAGAGTTTACGCAATAGCATGTCCTAAAATAAGCCAATTTATTTTGAGGATTTTGCAGTGCCAGTTAAACGTAAGAAAAAAATATATTTTTTTAAAATTTTGTGGGGAAACATGGGACTTCATTAGTACTACACAGGACTTCATTACTACTCAGGTGCCAGGACAAAAGGTTAAGCTGCTCTCTCAGTGTGGATTTTCTGCTTCAAACCTGGTAACATTCACAGTATTTTATTTTGAACTTTTCATTGGAACGTTTTGCTGTGCTGAAGGCAAAAAAAAAAATCTTAATATGCTTTGGTTAAAAGCATGTCCTCTCAACTGAAGTCTCCTAAAGTCTTTGAACACAAGAACAGTGCAGTTGATACTGTGTAACTGAAAGTATGCAGCGGATGGAAAATGTAAAACAAGAAATGCATTGTTAAAGTTCAACTGAGTGGCACTTTTGTAACTTCTGTTCTATAACAGCTTATGCCATAATACCAAGAAGCTCGCTTCCTCCCCTGTGGTGGATTTGTTTGCCATTTCCTGTATCTTTTCTTCCAGTGCTGTCCTTATATATGAAAACCCTTTGTCTCACCATGGGTTTATTTGTTTAAAATTCATTCTTTCGTAGAGTTGATTAAAACTGTTCCCAAGGTTTCTGTTGCATTACTGGCTGGGCTTCAGTTTCAGTTTTGATACTCATGAACCTTCTGCTTATTTACAAAGAAAGCTTTATGATTAGTGGGTGACTTCTTTAAGTGACTGGGTACATTGGAACTGTAGCAAAACCTTTTATGGGTTTCATCTTACAATGTTCCTAAATGTTCCTAAAAAAGAATAGAAAATAAAACAAATGTATATTTTTCCAGAGTGGAGCAAGTGTTGTCTTAACAAGAATTATTCAGAATATGTAGATGCAGTGGCAAATGACATGCCACAGGTTATGGATTAATATTTTAGTATGATTAAAAGTTTGTCTTAGTTTGTAGGAGAAGACAAAGTAATTGAGGGGCTCAGATTTATTGCTGCCAAATGTGTGTAAACCTCAGTGATGTGTAGTTATGCCTACCCTTTGTTTGTTTGTTTGTTTGTTTTCTGTGAAAGTGGGTAATGTTGATCAATGGAATATGTAATCCTTGTCTTAACCTGAGCAAGACAGCAGTTTTAGTGACCAAGTGTGTGCTGACAATAGTATGGCATATTCAGAGTTCATCTCTAGTTCTGTTTGCCATAATCAACATAGAGAGTTACGTGGTCGAGGTGCTTTCTGGCATAACAGGCTGTTAAAGCTGTTTGGCAGTATAATCTTATGAATTTCAGGATCCAGGGTGGTTTTTTGTTTTTATTTTCTTTTGTTCCCTGCACTCCACACACTTATCACACCACATCTCCACCTCCTGCACCCCCTCTTATTTTGGTGCATTGGAATAGGGCAGTCCTATCATATCCATACCTCTATTGTATCTACAAGTGGTACAAAGGTATTAAGAAAGCAGCATTTTGAGATAGAAGGAAAAAAGTATTATGTATCTTAAATGCCGCAATCATAAAATATGAAAACATAGAAGAAAATTAGAAATCATCTTGCTCATGATTCATTGAATTAACATTCAACCAGTGTTTTGAGGAGAACATATTATTCTGGATGTGTTTTGTGATGCCCATCGTGTTGTGTCATTGCAGATCTGCCATATGTGATGCTCGTTATGAGAGAAAGTTAGGTGATGAATTTGCATTTCTAATTTACACTCCTTTAGCTTTCAAATTCTAGTATTGAGGAATACAAGCCTGTGGTGGTAAAGATTACAAACGCAGCTGGGAACTGATTTCTAAATATATTAATAATTGACTCATTACCTTTTGTAGTAGATGCTATACCAATAGTAAAAGATCATATTTCATAGCACTGTTGTATATGAGTATAATATTTCTAATTATAGTCCATAGCAGTGCTTTGAACTTCCAACGTTTCGGATGGTGGGGCTGCATGATGTTAAGCACTAGATTATGATCCAGGAACTCAGGGAAATCTCATTGCATTCTTAGATGTGTCATTGGGCAGACAAGTGAGAGTCTTCTTGTTTATCCCTTTTTTGCTCTTGGAAAGTCATTTTCTTTCTTCTTATTGTTAGGGAAAATGGCTCAGAGACTATTTTTACTATAACAGAGGTGGGGGTTTTTTTATGTCTTCTGTCTGGAGCCATTAGTTTCCCGCTTTGTATAGCTCTGCATCATTTGTCAACTATCAGATTAGGCTTCTTTAAACCAGGTGTTACTCCTGAAGTAATAAAGCTTATATTTCAATAATCTGTAATATGTACCTAATTCTGTAAGGCTAGAATTACCCTCCAAGTTTTAGCAGGGAGGGGCAAAGGTGTTGATGCAGCTGGAGAGTTGCTTGCATTTTCCTGAACTCCTGGCAAGTGGACATAAGTGATAAAGAAATTATTTGTCTAACATTCTGTGCTGAAGAATTGTCAGTTCCGAATAATTAATGAGTATATAAACACGAACCGAAGTGTGGTGCTTACGTTTATGCTTTCAGTTTTGAGGGATCTAACTTAAGGATTGAAGTTCCCTTAAATCTTCTTAATGCTGAAAAGATGGAAATATTTTTATACTGTACAATAAACTGTATTATGAAAGTCTGAAATGCATTTGCTTTTCCCATTGTTCATTGAGGCTGCTGATAAGAGTTGCTTTTGGAGGGAAATGACCTTTGAAATCTGTGAAGGATATTTGTTTCTAGAAGTTAAAACAGCAAGGGAGTGGGTATCCTGTTACATAATAAGATTTTCTTTTTTTTTTGAGTAGACTTCACTCTTGGAAGGCAAGCTTGATTGAGCACACTGATTTTGTGTGTGCATTTTTTTTTGTTTTAATACTGCACTTAAAAGAATGGAACAAAATTCCACAATGTTGGGTAAAATAGTTGAGGTGTCTTGCACTATTAAATCTGCTCTTAAGGGGCGAAACTTTGAGGTTACACTGAAACCGTATCTAACTGTAGAAGAAAAAAGGCTTGCTGCTGCTGCTGATCCATGTGGATGTATGGAACAATATTTTACTCTGTAAGTACCTAATGTTTGGTAATCCTGGATTATAATTTGTCAGAAAATATTTGAAACAACCCTCACAACCCATCAATTTAAGTAACAATCAATTTCCAAATGGATTCATCAAGAACTTGTAATTTAATTTCTCTTTTTCTTTTCCCTACCTGCTGCTTTTCTCTTATGGAAGCAAGGCTGGCTGAAAACAGGTCTTCCTATCTTAGTTTCTCTGGTTTATGTCTTCCCAGTTAACATTTCAAAATGTTGTAATTTGAAATGTATGATATTTTCTATAAGCAGTTAGAAGTACATTTTATCATTAAATAGTCCTTTCTTCTGTCTTCACATCTTAAATTCACCTTTTCCATTTTTCTTCATGTTTGTTACATTCTGGGAGAAAATCTTCAGCAGCTACTTGGATCTTGTTTTGTATAACTTCCTCTGTTTTTGCTACTTGAAGTTCAAATTATTTTTTTCACATTTTCTGCTTTGTTGACGTATTCTTATTTTTTCCTGTTAATTAATATTCTGTCTTCTGTTGGTTAACGATTCTCTTGCTTCTCATGTTAATTACTCCACTTGCTCAGCCTTTCTTTTCCATTGGGTCAGTGGATTTTTTGAGTTGGTGGGCCATAGTCATAATCTCCCACTGGAGAATTACCTTTTACCGAGTTGGAGCTGATTCAGCACTGTTGCTGAGTTGTCTTTATTAGTTTCTTCTTTATCTTGGGGGTTCTGCCAAATGTCCTTGTGAACCATAAATTCTGCATTCTTTGTGTCCACTGTCAGTGGTACATCCTTCTTCCCAAGCTTTGTTAACCTCCCGCTAGGTCTGAGATAATTGAAACATGTCGAGCCCTTAACAAGGCAATTCTACTGACAAGTAATTTGTCTTTTTAACACCTAGATGTAACGTAAAGCTGGCTTGTTAGTTGCTATCTGTTTCATGGATTAAATCTCCTTTCTCGTTTATTAATCTTGAAAGTATACAGAGATCAAACATCAAAGAACATCCTTTCTTAAGAAAATTTTTATGTATGCCATTGTTTGCAACAGCAGTAGGAAGCTGGAGCATAGGATAAGAAACAACTTTGTAAATCAAGTCCAGACTTTTGCTACATAACTTTGATAACTGTGTCATAGAGATTCTTGCACAGGTAAGGATTAAGACTTAAGCAGAAAGAATCAGGGGTCTCCGAATTTCTGTATCCAGCTACAGCAAAGTCTCAGGCAAGGTACTTCAAGCTAACCTAAAAGAACTGAGACTTACTTGGTATCCTATACCAAGGTGGATAGGATAGCAAAATAAGCTATTTCTGTGGCCAAGAATAAAGAGAGCTTGGTAGGAAATAATGTTGATTGGGGTTTTTTTTCCATCTGGTTGTGGTTCTTAATTTTGTGGATGTATACTGAAACATGTGGGCAATGTGGATTTCTCATGGAGGGCACAAAATAGATGCAGTATTGGCTTTGAAAAGATGAGGAGATCTCCACTGGAGTCTGGAGTCACTCTGTTCCTTACAAGTAGGAAAAATGTTCTATAAGGATTTATGAAGGAATGGATGACAACAACATTTGGTCTCATTGTAACTAACTATGGCTTTGACTTAAACCTCTTTTCTTCGCTGTCTGGAATTCTAAGGGCAGTGATAAATCCAAATATATTTAGGTTTTGCATTCACTTTTGAAATCTTGTGTGGATATATTGGGTTTGGCTGAGTGGAGTTACTTTACCCCATAGCAGCCTTCATCATGCTGTGCTTTCTTTTGGTAGTTGATAACACACCAGTGTGTTGGCTACTGCTGAGCATTGCTCACGCAGTAGTCAAGATGTCTCTCCAATATCCCTCTTCACTGGTAGCCTGGAGGTGGGCAAGATCTTGGAAGGGTGCATAGCCAGGACTGCTGACCCTGACTGACAAAAGGAATAATCCATACTATATGGTGAATGTTCATCAATAAAAGCTAAGGAGAAGGGTGTGGACATTCGTTATTATGATTGTCTCCTGAAGCACCTGCTATGTATACTAAAGCCCCATGTCCTGAGAGGTGGCTGGACATTGCTTGTGGATCTGAAAGAGAGAATAAATCTCTTTTTTCCTTTGCTTCTACATGCAGCCTTTTCTTTTGCTTTATTAAACTGTCATTATCTTGACACATGAGTTTTTTTCCATCTTGTTTTCTCACCTTCATCTTGCTTGAGGAGGGTAGTGATGGAGTGGCTTAGTGGACCCCTGGTGTCCAGCCAAGGTCTACCCGATGTGCCAGGCCCTTCAATGTGTGAAGCTCACAGGGTTTGGAAAGCTTTTGGAGTTCTTTGGAGTATTGCAGACGTCTCTTCTTGAGCCATTGTTTGCTTCATAGTTTTTTAGTACTTAATCCAGACACTACAAAAGGCTGTTTGTTCAAAGAATTCTTTTTGTAAACTTTCGCTGTCTATAAATGCAGTTAGACTGTGATCTGTTTGCATCTAAAATGCCAAGCAGGGTGAGGTTTCTTACTAGTGGCAGCTAATGAGGAGATGTATCTACAAGAGAGCATCCTTATTGACTTGATATTTTTCTGTGAGAATTTTATTTCACCTGTAAAACGTGCTTGGACAATATATGTCTGATCATCAGGCTATCTTAATCATATGGCATAAACATACTGCAGATCTGAGGCTTTTAATCCCGATGACAGGGAATGGCATTTTACAACCCAGAAAAGCAGATGAAAGGTTATATGTGTGATTTTTAGTGAAATTCAAAGCATACTGAAGTCTACTATTGGGCTTTACAGTGACTTATGTTAGCTGATACTAGATTTTAACACAAACGCGTCAACCTTCGGGTGGTGCATCTGGCCCTCACTGGGGAAAGAGAGAGAAGGGAATGAGTTGAGTTGAGTTGGTTTAAACTAAGCTCTTGTCTCAAGATCTCAACCGGATTCCAGTCAAGGTTGAGCATACAGCTGATTGAAGTTGTGTGATGTTACATTGTTGTTAGAATCTGATAGATTCTTTTGCTAAACACTTCATTGTACTAGGCCAGCATGTTAGTAAATACAATTTAAAAGTGGACAAGAAGGGGCAGTGGTTCAACTTAAGTTGCTGAATTGATGGAAGAATATAAAAATGGTGTTCTGCTTTTATTCTTTATTTTTTCTAATTGATGCTTTACTCTTTCTACCGTAGAAATGAAGACCTAAAACAAATGTTGGAAAGCAGTAAAGATTCTGCTAAGCTGGATGCTATGAAGAGGATTGTTGGAGTATGTGATTTTTTTATTATTATTTTTATTTCTTGGATGGGAATAATGTTTTCACTTTACAGATCCTGTACAACATTAGCATTTGAATCTCTAAGTGATGTTTAAAAGTTGTGGTAATGAAATGGTGAAATCCTTAATTTGGAATTTTGTGTAGAAATTCCTATATCAGGATATATACTGTCATGTACTTTTAAAATAGTCATGTAACAGTGCCAATATGCCTGTAAATAATTACTTTCAGTGAGACTTTGAATAGGAAATGGTTCCTTGAGAGAAGCTTCAAAATCAGCAGACTGGAATCAGAAATTTGCAGGAAAAATGACAAATTGCATTTACTATTTTTATTTTATTAGATTAAATAAAGATTTTCTTTTTTTAATTGAGCACGATGCTTATATAGTTGACTAAGTATTTCAGGCAAACTGTGCACCTATAGAGGTGATTAAATGACAAGGTAACCCACCTAGCTAATCAAGGGAAACCACTTGGTGTACTGGTTTTGGATTTCAGTAAAGATTTTGATACTGTCTCTCACAGGATTCTTCTGGACAAAATGTCCAGCTCACAGCTGGATAAACACATTGTGGTGGGTGAGCAATTGGCTCATGGCTGGAGCACAGAGGGTAATAGTGAATGGGGTGACATCAGACTGGTGACCTGTCACTAGTGGGGTTCCACAGGGCTCTATCTTGGGCCCTGTGCTCTTCAACGTCTTCATAAATGACTTGGACACAGGACTGGAAGGGACACTAAGTAAGTTTGCAGATGACACAAAACTGGGAGGAGCTGTTGACTCCCTCAAGGGCAGGGAGGCCCTGCAGAGGGGACCTCAATAAATAAAAGAACTGGGCAATCACCGTATGAAGTTCAACAAGGGAAAGTGCCACATTCTGCACGTGGGATGGGGCAACCCTGGATGAACATACAGACTGGGGAATGAGATGCTGGAAATCAGTGCCACAGAAAGAGACCTGGGAGTCCTGGTCAATGGCAAGTTGAATATGAGTCAGCAGTGCCCTGGCAGCCAGGAGGGCCAACCGTGTCCTAGGGGGCATCAGGCAAAGCATTGCCAGCCAGCTGAGGGAGGGGATTGTCTCACTCTGCTCTGCACTGGGGCGGCTTCACCTTGAATATTGTGTGCAGTTTTGGGCACCACAATATAAGAAGGATATAAAACTGTTAGAGAGTATCCAGAGGAGGGCAATAAGAGTGTGAAAGGCCTTGAGCGGAAGCTGTGTGAGGAGCAGCTGAGGTCACTTGTTCTGTTCAGCCTGGAGAAGAGGAGACTGAGAGGAGACCTCATCTCAGTCTACAACTTCCTTGTGAGAGGAAGAGGAGGGACAGGCACTGATCTCTTCTCTGTGGTGACCAGTGCCGGGACCAGGGAGTGGCCTGAAGTTGTGTCAGGGAGGTTTAGGTTGGTTATTAGAAAGAGGTTCTTCACCCAGGGGATGACTGGGCACTGAAATGGGCTCCCCAGGGCAGTGGGGGTCACAGCACCAAGCCTGAGTTCAGGAAGCATTTGGACAATACTCTCAGGCACATGGTGCGACTCTTGGGGATGGTCCTGTACAGGGCCAGGAGGCCCCTGTATGATAATTCTTGTAGGTCCCTTCCAACTCAGCATATCCTGTGATTCTGTGAAATAATGTTTAACACTATTGCGTGTTTAAACCCTAAAAACTGAACATGAAGTTGATAGTTCCCTTTTTTTCTTCTTAAAAGTATTGGAAGAATGTGCTATGGAAAACTGTTCAGTGTCCATTTGACTTCGTTTCAGTCTCCTTTGGGCATGCTTTTTTGTTTTCCTTGGTTTTTACATCCTTAATCTTATCTGAGTACATACCAAAGTGAATAGGTACAGTTTGTATCATGCGATTGTGTTCTTTCCACAGACTCTAGAGCTGGCAGTTTTTCCCTTCGTTACCCTTTAGTGATGAAAGTTTTACTTAAGCTGTTTGTCTTTTTTGCCATTGATCCAAGTCCTGCCAGAGACGTTATTACCCATGAGATCTGGGTAACTATCAACTGCTATTTCATGATGTCATTCTTTTTTTGGTGAAAGGTTTGTTAATTCATCTTCTCTGATATGATGTGGGATTACTCAGGTTTTGATCAGTGAGAGTCTGGCATATAGAAGTGCTGTTGCAAAAAAACATGGCATTTAGAAGTGTCATGGTTTCAAGCTATGGTTAACTTACATTCTTTGTGCTTCCCTCAGAAAAGCTATTATTCTGGCTATTACTGTGGGCAGGAGGGTTGGGGAAAGTTGCCTGTTGCTCCCTTGGTTTTCTTTTTCAAAAAGTTGCCAGATCTTTGTCTGTTTTTAGAAGCAGTTGCAACTGAATGTATGTATGTATGTATGTGGGGGAATTAGAAACCATTAAATTGAATCAGATTTAAATTATAAACCAAGGTTTTACTAGATTGATTTTTTTTTTTCTGCTACAAACAATCCTATCACTGTAAATAAGTGTGCAATGAGCAAATGCAGTCATTATAAATACCTGCTGCTGCTGCATATTCAAAAGAGTTCTTAACTGTTTATTTAATTTTATGGAAGTGCATGATGCCATGACCTGGAGACATGTGGTTAGCACTGATAGCTGTGGTCCTTGATGGTCTTAGGCTGAAGTGATCAGGCTCAAGAAGTCTTCAACAAGGGAAGGCAGAACTAATTGGACACATTCTTTCCTCTGCTCCCCTGTTTTCCAATTCTGACAATTCTCCCCAGTTTCCAGTTCTAGATTTTTGTCCTGTTTTAAGTTTGTGATCCTTGGTTTTTGTGCCTGTTCTAAGCACTGTGCAATGGAGGAAGAGCACTACTTTCCCAAATGACAGCAGGCACCTTCTGTTTCTTGGATATTTTTCCTCTTCTCAACTGCTGCTTCTTAAAGCAGTAACAACCTTTTGTCTTGTAAGCTAAACTTGACAGCGAGTTGTTTGAATTACTGCATTCTCTCTTTTCAGTTCCTTCCGTATCTTCAAAGTGTTTGCTGTTTTCCTGTGCTGTGTTTAAACTATGTTTCCTACCACACATCTGGTACCAACCTCTGGTTGACATAACAAACTCAAACAATGAGCTTCGCAGGCCAGGACTGGGACGTTGCACAATTACCATGAGGTCTTGTAACAGTGGTGATAATGTTCTTGCAGAGCACAAAGGTGCTTGTATGCTTGCATATAGAGAGGGGCTTATATCTCTCAGGAATGAGATGTGTTTTCCAGAAATGCTTCCTCAATCTTTATTATTAGAGGAAAAAAGGAACTCTGTTGTCAGAGTATTGTTTAAAGTGTCTCACTGAAATGCTCTTTTCACTAGTTTTAGATAGGGGAAAAAGCTATGCATACAGCATCCACAACTTCTCTGGGCAACCTGTTCCAGTGCCTCAGCACCCTCACAGTAAAGAATTTTTTCCTAACATCTAATCTAAAGCTACCCTCTGTCAGCTTAAAGGTATTACCCCTTGTCCTATCACTACATGCCCTTGTAGAAGTCCCTCTCCAGCCCTCTCATAGGACCCTTTAGGTACTGGAAGGTGCTATAGGGTTTCCTCAGAGCCTTCTCTTCTCCAGGCTGAACAACCCCAACTCTCTCAGCCTGTCCTCATAGGAGGAATGCTTGATAAGCCGTCCCTGTCCATGGAAGAGGGGTTAGTCTCTAAGGTCTCTTCCACCTTAAACCATTCTATGACTCTATAATTCTATGATACCAATAGTTTTCTTAGTCTTTTAGTAGATTTCAAGAGGCTGAACCTTCATATAGGTGTGATAGAGGAGTACAAGGAGAGCACTATTTATGGCATCCTTTGCTGCTTCTTCCTACTGTTGGGTGGTTTGTGAACTTTCTCCTAGGATGAAGGAGATTTTTTACAAATAAACTGAAATCTGTCTTCCGGAGAGTGACTTTTAACAATGTAAATTCAAGCATAGGAGTAGTCCATATTTTTCCACTCCCCTCTCATACACAAATGTATCTAAGCCTAGTTCAGGTAAGATACGTATGTGTGACTTTCATGATCAAGGATTTTATTTTTTTATATTTATTTTTAGTCAGTATGTAATTTTTTGTTTCTTCCTTAAATGCTTGCTATAAAATAAATACAATCTTTGAATGACTATGAGCAATACTGCTGGGTTAGAAATAAATTTGAAGAGTATACATTTTATACTCTATGCATGAAAACACAATAGCTGATATTTGTTTTAAAACATACACTGATATTACAACAACGAAGATGTTCTCAGTACCATATCTTGAAGCCTATCTGAATTTCTCATCTGGGAAAATACTCTGTGGAATTTCACTCCAGAAGATTTCAGAGCATTAATTTAGAAAACAGTCACATGCCTCATTTTCCTCAAAGAGTATCATCCATATATGTGTGTCTCTCACATAGGAAAAAAAAAAAGTTTAATACACTCTGGCATTACGTAACACATTCTAGAATGAAAGTTTTTGTGCAGAAACTCCAGATATATAAGACAACACAACTGGAGAATCTCTAGGCATAGCAACCAAAATGACATGATAGACCTTAGTCTTGGAAAGAGCCATTATGTTCTTTCAGGTTAATGATCCATGAGCTAAGGAGGATTTATGCTAATTGTTATACAATAACGAGTCAAAATACACTCTTTTAAAAGACCCTAAATACATATTTACGTGGTATGCTGGAGCTATTATGGTTGATCAGTTAAATAATCCAAGTAATTCATAGAGTCATGCTGTTAGAGCCTGTCAGGGAAGTCTAAGGATCATCTTAGTTTTTGAGTAACATAACTTCCGTTGCATCAAGATAAGATGATAGTATTTTATTCTATCGTACTTCTCTGCAGTGCATCTTGGTGCTGAGTTCTGTGTGATCATTTTGAATTTGACATTTATTGTGAAGACCCCTCAGTCCTAACAGCAGTGGTTTATTTTAGATTCTTAGATAAAAACCCCTTGAAACTCATATAATATTCTTGCTTTTTAGTTTGTCACTTTTTGTGACTTTTAATACAGCTGCAAGAAATAGTTCAAGATGTTGAATTTAAACGTCATGCTGGATAGCTGCTCTTAAACCCTTTTGAAAGACTGACTAATAGCCTGAACTACAGCTGCCTTTTTTCTTCTTCCGTCATCTTTCTTCTAAGCTTCTGTGAATATACAGTTTCTCAGGTATTGCCTGGTTTTGTGTGTTATTGCTTTTGTTGCATGAGATCCTAATTCTTTATGCTTTTGATGTGTTTTATCAACAAAGTACACAAACAGACCTGTGAGTTAAGAATATGAAGTTTAATCAGCTATATAATGTTGAATAACGGTCCAAGTGTAAGATGGTTATGTACAGGAGTAACTGCAGTTGCAGAGCTCACGTTTCTGTGTTGGATCCCTGTATATTTGTTGTTGCTTATTTGTGTTGGACCCTAGTGGACATCAGTGACAAGTGTTATCCCTTAGGGGTCTGTACTGGGACCAGTACTGTTTAATGTCTTTATTAGTGATGTAGACAGTGGGATTGAGTGCACCATCACCAGATTTGCAGACAACACCAGGCTGAGTGGTGTGGTTTACATGCCTGAGGGATGGGATGCCATCCAGAGGGACCTGGACAAGCTGGACCCATGGGAAACTTATGTGGACCTCATGGGGTTCAGCAAGACCAAGTACAAGGCCCTGCCCTAGGGTTGTGGCAGACCCCACTATCAGTACAGGTTGGAGGATGAAGGGATTGAGAGCAACTCTACCAAGAAAGGCTTGGGAGTTCTGGTGAGTAAAATGCTGGTTGTGAGCTGACAGTGTTCACTTATAATAGCCCAGAAAACGTGGCCAGTGAGTCAAGGGAGGGGATTCTGCCCTTCTACTCTGCTCTGGTACCAGAGACCTCACCTGAAGAACTGCATCCAACTCTGGGGTTGTTGACACAGGAAAAATATGTACATGTTGGAGCAGGTCTGGAGGAGGCCACAGGAATGATCTGAGGGTTGGAGTAGGTCTCCTATGAGGACAGGCCAAGAGAGTTGGGGTTGTCAGCCTGGAGAAGAGAAGGCTCCAAGGAGACCTTATGGCACCTTTCAGTACTTAAAAAAGGGCCTACGATAAAGCTGGAGAGGAACTTTGTAGTAGGACATGTGACTGGACAAGGGGTGATGGTTTAAACTAAAAGGTTGCTATAGATTAGATATAAGGAAAAAGTATTTTACAGCGAGGGTCGTGAAACACTGTAACAAGGTTACCTGGAGAGATGGTGGATGCCCCATCTCTGGAAACATTCAATATCAGATTGGACAGGGCTCTGAGCACCCTGATCTAGTTGAAGATGTCCCCGTTCACTGCAGGGAAGTTGGACTAAGTGACTTGAACGGTCTCTGTTCTATGATTCTGTATTTGCTTAGTGAGCTTTCTGATTTACTTGATGTTTGACTGGCTGAATCTCATCCTTGGGCAAGACACACAGATTCTCAGAGTTATGTTACATCAAGTTACAGTGCTGTTGAAGAAATTCCTGAAATCCCAGGGTATGCAGTTTGGACTTAAAAGTACTGCCAGACAGTCTACTGCAATTAGATCTAAGAAGTAAGAACGTTGTGCAACTGCGGTGTTCGTACAAGAACTGAAGCTAAACTGGGGTTTTGTTGTTTATGGTCTTTATTGTGACAATTTTATTGTTTATGACATGTCTGGTTTCAGATTTCTCCAAGATCAAACATGAAAACTTCCTTTCAAAAAAAAAAAGAAAAATAGAAGAAAATTAGTGCATTGATCTTACTTTCACTGTGTGATTTCTGTTTATCCTTTTTTGTTTTCTATAAACACTTTACAGCCTTTTGTGTTTAACTTGCTATGGAAAACAACCTTGCCTTGTTTTTAAAGTGTGATGTCTATTTTTATTTTTATTCTTGGTGCTGTTGCAAACCAAGATTGTTTCAGGGAAAAGGAGCAGCACTGAAACTTGTATGGCTTCTGATGGGTTTTGTTGTGCCTTTTTTTTTTTTTCCCAGCTCCTAAAAGGTAATTCTACAAGGCTTTTCAGATTAGCAAGATCTCCGTTTCTAGTTATTTTTAAGGCATTAAAAGTTATTTGTCATCCTATATGTTAAAGTCCAGTTCATTGATTCCATCGCCCAAACTTGTAACTAGCCAGCACTCAGAGTTTTTGCTGTATGGATTGTATCACGTATATTCTAATAACTAAAAAATGGGTTTTATCCTCAATTTCATAGAAATCAGATTTGAAATACAGATCTGAAATAAATCAACATAACACAAACCGTACTCTAATAAATTTTATTATTACATTACTAAGATTTGTCTCTTCCTTCTTTTTTTCAGATGATTGCAAAGGGAAAAAATGCTTCTGAGCTGTTTCCTGCTGTTGTGAAGAATGTTGCCAGTAAAAATATTGAGGTATTCCTATAACTCATTAAACATGCTGTTATGGAAGATCTGATTGTGAAAATTTTATCTAATTGTACCAGACTTCAATATAAACTATAAAATCTCTAGCATTTTTAATAGAACTTCTAGGAGTTTATTTCATTATGGTAGAAATTTTATGTGTAAATAAAGGAAACCTATTGGGTGATTTGGAGGGAGGTATAATAACTATTTACATTTAAAAAAAAATTCTTGATTTCAGAAAGTTTGTGAAATATGTTTGTAATTGAGAAGAGTTACTGTAGTTTATTTGAGGTATGGTGCTTCTTCCAAAGTTTAGGATTGTGCTACATTGTATTTGAAAAAGTATGCTGCAGATGTAAGGGTTGGGTAAAAAAAGTGTGTGTTCTTATGCCTTCATCAGGTGTTAGGCACACAAAGTAACTTGCTTCAGTAACTATTCCAGTGAAGAGGTGTCAGAGTTATAGTTGACTTGACAAATGAGATTTGGATAAAAATAGCATCTGTAAATTTGTAGTTTCAGACTTCGTAGTGACTAACAAGCATCGGTTTGATGAAAGCAGACTGAACATGCAACATTGAAAAATGTGGTAAACAGTTGTTTGAGGCACTGGGTTTTAAGTCAACTGAATGCATGCGTCATTGTTCCACCCTCTTCTGGAAATGGGAGCTGTAAGTGTGCAAAGATGCTAATTCAGAGTCTTTCAGGAACTTACTGTATTAAAACTATTTTAGAAATGGTAATTGTACTTTTACTAATAGGCAGTAAAAGGAAGTGAGACAAGGAATCAGACTAGTTAAATATTCTTTTCCTCTTTAATTTGCATTTGTAAGTTATGAGTACTCCAAGTCCAATTTTAAACAGAGAGACCTTACACCAAAGAGGAATACCTTGAACAGTATTATTTATCTTATGTGCTTTTAACTTTAGTGCTGGAACCACTAGGCCAACAGAGGCAAGATTGCCCAAGCTCCAGGCTTTCAGCCCAACAGTAGTGAGTCTGAGAGTGTATTCCTGGTAGGTGTGCACATACATATAAATCTTTTATATGTATATATACAAAACAAAAATATATATACGGAAGCAGCCCCATAAATTGTCACAGGGTATCCCGGTGAACACAAACAGCACCAGCAGTTTGTCAGTTCAAGAGGAATGTCTGCTATGTGTGGATCCATCCACACTGAGTCTGCAAAGTGGCTGGCCCATGGGTCTCAGTCACTCCTGTTGCTGGCACATGGATGTATGAGCCTCTGGTGCTGCACCCCTGTTTCATGCCTGTAAACCAGGACTACCCTGGTTTCTCAGTAGCTGCTCTCTCATGGACTCTCCCTTAGACACACAGCTGTGTGCACGAATGGAGCACAGCTGGACCTGGCCAGAACTCCCCTAGTCCTCTGCTGTCCAAACCCCCGTGGTTATGCCCTTAGAGAGGTACACAGAAAAAGCCTAGATCTTGCCCACAGGCCATCTGGCTTCCTTGGTAGCTGGTTGGGACTTCAGTGGTCTGTGCCAGTTCCTCCTGTTGTCTCACCCTTAGATGCCCATACCCAGACTTACCTCCTTCACAGGCCACTTCACCTACCTGCCAGCCACTGCAGCTTGATCCATGTGCACACTTGCATCCGTTCCAGTCACTGGCACCACAGGGACATGGGCTTGTACTTGGTTTCACAGACTCTGGTCTCTTCAGTTGCTGGCATTCATGGTCATGGGCCCTCTGGCCTGTGGTCCCAGCCGAGGTGTAGGCAGCCAGACCCTCCCTTGTTCCAGGTGCTGGCCACCATGGATTTAGAGGTCCCTATGGCTTGGCATCACATTCCAGTTACTGGGGTCACACTTAAGTCCCCTCACTCTGGTCTCTCCAGCTGCTGGTGCCTATGTACATGTCAGCCCTCTAGCTTGTGGCCTGACTATAGTTGCTGGCACATACATGCACCTTCATGCTGAATAAAGAGTACTTCACCAAGGAAAATAGATAAAAATGTAATTTAATGAGTAAATGTAGTGGACTGTACTAATCACGTAGAAGGGTAGATGTACCAACCAGCAAACTGTTCAGATGTGTCCAGCCATCTTATACCTCTGTTTTCCCCAACTTGTTCTTCTCCAGATCAGGTAGATTTCCTCTGCTTCTCTTCTACTTTGGTTCTTCCTCAAAACATCCCATGCTAAGTCTTGGTGTGACAAGGTGTCCTTTCTCTGAGTCCTAAATTTAGTTTCCCTGCTACTGCTGTGTCTCTCTCTGCGCTTCTGAGCTGATGGTTCCTGTCTTTGGCCTGGGAGAAACCAGAGCAGGGTGTTGCATGCAAACATCCCTCCATCCCCCTTGTCTCTCTGTGCTCCTTTGTGGTGTGAAAACAAGGTCTTATCACATAACCTAACACTAATTAGCAGAAGCCTTTCACTGTTGATATTTTATGGACCTGTTTTCTTATTTTAAAACAAATAGGTAGTTTTATGAAATCACGTATCTTCTTTATGCGAGAAGTGACTGTTAAACTGCAAAGAGATCAGGACATTCATTGAAGCCATTTGACTAATTTCTTTATCAAGTTGAGTTAGATGACAAGTTTAGATCATAATGTAGCGCTTTTTAGAGCTGTCTTGTGTCTCAGGAACCTTTATCATGATCCATTTTTTAGGATGCTCTTGAAATTATGAGAAATTACTTGGTTAAGTCAGATTCTTAGTACATTGGTCATGATACTGTTTTCTGAAACTGTTTTGCCAAATTTCCTAAGAATTCTTACACAAATCTGTACAAATTACTATGATGTAGTAGCAGACAATACATTGGTTTATGTGAGTGATTTTGTATCCAAGTGACTTTCCTGCCCAGAAATGGCTTCTGTTTTTATTTTAAAATCAGGGCTGAATGCTCTGATGCAGGAAAATGGAGATGAAGGAGTAGTATAACATGTTAATTTGTTTTAAGAGAAGCAAAGGGCATCTTATTGTTTACAGAAGTGCCCTATTTTTTTTTTTTTTTTGATAAGTACACGCCAACCTCAGCTTGATTAAGTGCATCATGTCACGCATGGTAAGGATACAAAAAGTGACCTAATAAACAATTGGTGGTATAGAACAAAAATAAGTCTTCATCAATAATTCATGGAGTTTGATGTGCTTATATTGATAAATTAATTAAACAAATCTGCCTGTGTTCCTCAACCCTAATGTGCTCCTGTTATGATTAGTTTTACAGAACAGAGCATTTTAACATTGAATGAAGGTAAATGGTAAAAGAATAGTGTAGTCACGAAGCTCTGAGTGCTTTCATTTCTAGTCACAAAGTGGTTTCAAGGAAAGGAGGCTTTCTTTGCACACCTGCAATCATTCAGTGCACAGGCCTCTTGTGGTCAATGTTGATTGCTACTTCTCTATAGTTGAACAACAAATAATTTAGTATGATGTAACCGTCTGTGATTTAATATTATGGTTTTTTGCCAGAATTGGCACAAAGGTACATCTTCTGATAGTGACAGTAATTATTAGCACAGCTGTAGTTGAGGGTCTTTCAGAATTTTCCATTATAAACCCCAATAGTCGGTTTACAACTCAAATGTAAAAAAAATGTTTTCACTGCTTCCTGGGCATACAGTGGCCATGAGGGGGTAAAGTGAATTAAATTGAACACCCTCCTCCCCAAAATCATACTGAGATTTTCTTAATCATTGAACATTGCATCCTTTGTAATATGCTTATGTTGGCGGCATCTTTTGGATGCTTGTAGTCATGCAAAGGTGAATCTAATATCCTTTGTTTTTTTCCAAAACATAGTCAGAAGTGCTCTTTTAATCACATGTAAATAGTGTAAATTGCCACACTTCAGCAGGAAGTTATATTCACTTTCAAATGTGTTAAAGTAATTGATATTGAGTTTCAGGGTAAAATAAAATGAACTTGTTGAAATTCTTGGCTATTTCAGTTTAATCTATTTTCTATAAGAAAAAAAACATGAGAAGTGCTCAAGTGATCAGTTGACACATGTCAACATCTTAGATTATTCTTTATTTACTAGTTGATAATATAAGGCAGTACTTTGTGTTATTAGCCTTCATCTGACTGTCATTAATTAAGCAACATTGCAACACCTCAGGAGTTTCTATTAAAAGAATTGAAGTAAATTGCAAGACATTGGAGAAGCGTGTGAGTACTTCGGTGATATATTAGCTCTTTCTTCAAAGAATAAAATTTTGATGAAACTATGCATGATGAAACTAGTTTTACAGAATTCTAAAACTTTCTGATTGTGATGTTCATTGTACTTTTTCTTTTCAGATAAAAAAGCTTGTATATGTTTATCTGATGCGCTACGCAGAGGAGCAGCAAGATTTAGCATTATTGTCCATCAGTACTTTTCAACGTGCTTTAAAAGTGAGTGACTACTGAAAAGTGACTACTAACTAACATTTCATAGGGAATTCTGAGCTAGCAGTGCGAAAATAGAAGTATTTGTGTAAGCGTAGTGTGGTAAACTAAAGCATGTAAATATCTGCATCTGATAAAGTAGTTTCAAGTTATGTGATTGCCAGAGTTTTTTGTACTACCTCAAACCTTGTCAAGCAGCTAAGCCTGCAAGATATAAAATTACTTCACTGAAGAAAGGCAGCAGAACGGTGCTCTCAAATCCACAGTGTAACATTTAATTTCTGGAATGCCTTTTTTCCTTCCAACGTAACTTAGGTATATAGCAAAAAGACCCTGTTATTGCCATGAACTACCTGTCTTCCTTTTAGTTTATGTAAAAGAACTTTATTTGCAACAGAGGATTGGAAAAAAGATAAGGAAGATAGTAGTACCTAAATTAAAATATTCAGTGTGTTGCACATAGTGCTTTTTCATTAAAAGCACTGAAAAAAAGCATTTTGTAATCTTCTGTTTCAAATCAGATCACAATGAGAAATGGGATTAGAGAGCAAAGATTAGGGTTGCTTTTGAAGTGTGACTGTGGAGAAAAGAAAGATTTATTAAGTCTATGTTCTTAAATTTGGCCAGTTTTTATAATAAGAGAAGATCGCTTTTTTCTTTTTTCTTTTACCTTTCTTGTAAGGCTGCTCTAGGTTCATAATTAATTTCTGTCATGTCACTGAACCCAGACCTTGCATCTTTTTGGGATATATTGCAATCAGAGCACCACTTGTGCAGCTCTGGGAGCATCCCACACCAACTACAGAATTTTCTGCCCTTTTCCTTTCAACTTTTATCTCAATATCAAAAGTACTTCCTTTACTATCTGTGACTGCCATGAAAAGCTAAAATTCAAATTACTTTGTATCCTGTGTTTCTAGTGATATATGTATGCAATGATCACTTCTCATGGCATAGCTCTTTTAAAAGCTATGGGTAATGAGAACAGTAGGAAGGGGATAGGTCAAATGTTGTGACTGAGTAGCAAAAAAAGGAGTGGCGGTGTGGCAAGGAGATAGACACCAAGCTAGTGGAGATTGTCAGCAACTAAGGAAATCTGCCATAAAAAATAGGCAAATATAATTAATTCTCTCTGTTCATTTTTTGTAATGTTTTGTTTCTCTTTTTGCAATGATTATAATTTGGCTTTATGTGTGGAGATTTTTTTCTCCCTCTGTAGAAAGAATGTTTTAGGGTATTTTCAACTTCTGTGACTGCAGATGAGATTTGCAAACTCTGGTAAGAACAAGTTGTTTTCCCAAAACTGTCAAATGAAGTGCTTTCACCATCCAGATTCTTACTACTCAGAAGCTGCTAAAATGTAAGAATTTTGAGAGGTTAGATGAACTAATCATTAAGTAATACCAGTCTGAAAATCTGTGTTGCCAGTTTTCAGTCCTTCGGAGAAATGTTCTTTAGGAAGTTCCCTTCTGGCAGGACAGTACACTGAATTAACAATGCTCAATTTCAGTTTGCTGGATTTTGGAGGATTTAGTACCTTGTTAAGCAACATTTTTTCCTCGTATCCCAAGCCTGTGATTAAAGGACAAAGTTTATGTAACTGTTCTTCCAAATACAGGTGTGTTGGATCTCCAAGCTAACCCTAGTATTGTAAAAGAGGACCAAGAACTGGGACAAAAGAAGGGAGGAAAAGAAATAGAAAAAAGTCTCAAAACATTTAGCCTAGTATTTTGACATGTTGTTTAAAAATTCATTTTGTTACTGGCTTCAGTTTGTATCTTGACATAAAGCACAGAGTGGATTCATTCTCAAGAACTTGAGTGTGAGTGTCACAACTGAAAACAACATTTTCATTTGACCTTTCTTAAATATAAGTAATAAAGCTGAGCTAGTGTGTCTTTGAGAATACCTGAATTCCACTTGGATTGCAACAAATGTATCAGAGAATTAAATAAAATATTAGTCTTTTTTACCCATCATTCCCATATTTTGTTTGTGAAAGTGCATTATGTTAATGTTTCCTTTGTAAAATTTTCAGATTTTCATAATGTTTTAATGTTCTCATTCTTAATTTGGTTTACTTTTTTTTTGGTTGTTGAAAATTTCTTTGTGTGAAGTGTGGCACATTTTGTTAGTAGTGTGGCCTTCACTTACAGGCCTGACTTACAGTCAGATAGATTTACATGTTTTAATGTGTTGTTATTAATTAAGTGTAAAGACTGCAGCAAATTTATTATTTGTTTCTGCATTATCTTATTTTCTTTCTCCCCCTCCCTCCTGTTCTTTAGGATCCTAATCAATTAATCCGTGCAAGTGCTTTAAGAGTTTTATCCAGTATCCGGGTCCCAATTATTGTTCCTATTATGATGCTTGCTATTAAGGAAGCCTCTTCTGATTTATCTCCTTATGTGAGAAAGAATGCAGCCCATGCAATCCAAAAACTGTATAGGTAAGTGATTCTGGCAAATACTGAAAAGCAGTTTTAAAATAGTTGTGGGCTACATTTATAAAGACTACTGGGGGTTTGGCATGTCTCAGATATAAGATCAGTTTCTTAAAACTATAATGTGTGTGTGGACATTCCATCAGTCAAGTGGTTTGGTTGGAATTCAAGCAGTTCTCTTGCTTGCTAGACTAAAAGCATATAACTGTAAAGAGATACAAAAAGAGACTGATACACTGTCTTTTAGTTTTTAATGTACCAGTTATTTTCATCTGTGTAACAACTGTCCTGGTGGGTATTCTCCAAATCTTAAGATTTCTCTGTTTAAAGTCTGCATCTTTCATCCTGAAGGCATTTGCTGTAGTTTGTAATGCATATGACAAAAGAATGCTAACTTGTAGAAATTTTATCTGTGCAAGTCCAAATCTTCCAGATCTTCCTCTTTTGTCAGAAATTCATGTTGGGGAAGAGTTCTTATCAAGACAGTGATACTATTTTGCAGAGGTGGGAGCAGCAGAGCTTGTACCTTTGCAAAACATCATCAGGCATTTATTCTACTATATACTTCACTTTTATTTCATCTATACTGAAAAGTGGAGTTTGAGAGATGTTAGAGGTTCTGAATCAGGTAACCTCAGGCAGTTGTAGTTCCATGCCCTCTCAAACCACCCGGATGCAAGGCTGAGCATGTGTTCCTGAAAGGCACATAAAAGATACATGTGCAACACACATACCCACAGCCATCTATACAGATCAGCAGAGACAGAAATCAACAGTCATGCAGACAGTACCAGCACCAACAACATTATCCTGTTGCCCTTTCTGGCTGATAGGTATACAGGCCCATTAGTATGCCTAGATGTGTACAATATGGATCCCCCAGTGATAATCCTAGATGTTCTGTGTTTCCAGGAACTGGCTTTGCATCCCCAGTCTCCCAGTTTCTGCCACACACAAGCACACAGTGCTTGCAAACCCACCACACTTCCTACTACAGACCCCCTCAGTCAGGTGCACACATGCCCTGCCCTTTCACGCAGACACTGTGAATCCCAGTATCTCAGTTTAGAGACTCAGATTATGCTGTAAATTGCCCATATACCTCCTCATCTCTGCTTGTCTTGTGGGAGGTGGAGAGGAGGTGAGAGAGATTGAGGCGTGGTTATCTCAGTCAACCTCCAGACCTTACAGTCTCTGCAATACTTCGCCTGGATACACTGGTCCTACTGGTAGATAAGATCTTCAGTTGTAGCACTCAGAGGCACACACAGGTGTCCAGCTTAGATCAGTGGCCCCACTTCAATACTTGGCTTCCCAAGCCACCCAGTCTGGTTTGATATTCTCAGGCAGTCACACACTGACATACTTGCTCTGGTTGCTGGTGCTACTGTTATACAGGTCCGTATAACCCATGGTTTAACTCCAGCTGCTAGAGCTTAGATCTCCATATCACGTATGCACACGGAATAGAGACTTGCCTCTGTAGTCAGCAGGTGCACAGCATGGGTAGACAAGTGTGCTGAGCAGCAAAGCATTTAGATACACTTGACTCCTTTTGTGCACCTCTCCCTTTATTTTCCTACTCTTGTTCCTCCCAAAGTAATTTAGATCCTTCCATTTCTCCCATAAACATCCCATCTTGTATGATTGCAGGATGCTCTGTCTGGCATTGCGTATTAAGTCTTATAGCCCTGTAACTAGAGCTCTTTAGCCTGTTCTTTTATTTCCACTCCAAAAATGCTCCCTTCCTTGTCTAAAACATCAGGAAGGAGGAGGGGGAGGAATGTAAATTCAGTTATTGGAGCCCTTACTGATGATTTGCTTGATCACGTAAGAAAAACTTTTGGCTTTTCCTCTGAAGGTTTTAGTCCTTGGCAGAAGATCCAGTAAAACTTCCTTGACCAAAATAGAAGTGAGAATGAAAGGTGATCATAAAAGTACTTATGCAACAACGTACTGTTGCTTTGCTTATGATGATAGTGGCTTCTAACAAAGTTTTGTTATCCATTTTGCATGTTCTAGTATTGCTAGGTCTTAAAGTCTTAGTGAAGTAGTACATAGCTAGATACTCACTTTGTGAATCTGTGACTAGAAAGGATATATACATTAGGGAAGTTCATCACTCAGCATTAAAACTGATGTGTACAGTAATGACCAAATGCTCCCTTACTTATCTGTAACTGTATCCATGTTGAAATGACTTTCCAAAGGCATAGAACTACACATCTGTATCACTCTTTGTACTCACTTTCCCTTTGTATTTTCTTCTGCTTTGGCTTTGAATTCTTCCATGCTGTGTAGATGCATGATGAGGAAGGAGTTGCAAAGTTGATCCTTACCTACCTAAGAAGCAGGTGTTACAATAGTGGATATCTTAGGCAAACTTTTCTCTGCTCTTTTAAGATGGAAAGGATGCTACAAAGGTTGTTTTTTGCAACTTTTGTTTTTCCTCTTCTTTTGCTATTTACGTAGGACTTCGAGCAGTCTATTTTGTATCAGCCTGCACACCAACTTTGTATAGGTACATATCCTGTACATTGGACATTGAGTACAATGTCCAAATCTTTGAGTTCCTGTACTTCTCACTAAAATTAGTGGTTAACAAAGTGTCTTACTTGAAATTTTATAGTGATAATTAGATAATAAAAATATGAATCTTCTTTGTTCTGGTGTTCATTCACTACTGAATTAGTTCATTCTGAAATTCACTTCTGCAAAAGCAGTGAGATCCTTATGACTTAACATATGAAGTTCGATCAAGTTCTCCCTGATGTGGGTTGGCCTGTCTTAATGTTTCTTAAATCCTGAACTTTTTATGAGTTTAAGTATTAAGTTTCTTATAGAACACACGTAAGTGATATAACATAAGATAATATTCATAATTTAGTTTTATACTCCTGCAATTCAGTTAATTAGTAACTTATATTCAGTTAAGTTCTTTTACGAAGAGTTCTTTGCAGTACTTGATTTTTCTGACAATGTTTTCTTCAATGCTCTTTGTTCCCAGTTTGTGTGTAAAGGTCAGAAAACCAAACCTCTTATAGTTTTGGATAGTCTGACTGAATGAGTAAAAATTATTTTATTTTTCTTTCTAGTCTTGATCCAGAGCAAAAGGAAATGTTAATTGAAGTGATAGAAAAGCTTTTGAAGGATAGAAGTACGGTAAGAAACAGTTTTCTATTACACATGCTTATATTTTTAAGGAGTTTACTCTGGAGCCTGTCATTTATTAGTATGTAATATGCTTTCCTAACCCTTGCTGATGTGATTTTATATGTTTTCAGATAGAAATGTCATTGTGTATTTATGCATTACAGTATGACTGTAATAGTGACCGTCTCTTTGCATCATGAGTCTGTTAATTAATCTGTTTTTGTTAGCATGTTTTTATGTATGCTTCTTTAAACTTTATTTTGAAAATTAAAGTTATATTATATGATCAATGTACAAATCTTTATGTATAAATTTTCATATCCACTTTTTCATTGGGACATTAGCTTAGTAATTTCAGTTAGTTTAGTAAGAATAGTGTTAGTAAGAATAAATTACTTCTGTATAATGCACATTGTGCTTATTGACATCCATCTCTCTTTTACTGTGTACAGTTATTAAAAAATTACACTTGCTGTGCACTTGTTTGTTCTTTCAAATATCTTCACTTCCAGTCTGGTAAATAAGAGATGTTCTGGCAAAATTTCTGTAAATTTAACACTCCTGTTGTATTTTACCTGCCCTATATAGGTACAGATTTTCTGTATGAGCTCCTAGATGTCTCACAATGGTCTTACACTTTATTTTCTTTTATTCTGCAAGTAAGTTTCCCACGTATAACCTGGAAAGATAATGGAGCAAGGAATCAAAGTTAGATTTCGAATAGAAACCAGAATTGTAAATTAAAACATTCTCTTCTTCATTGTGTGCAGGTTACTAATTTAATGAATGTAATGCTTTTTGACTAAAGGAAAGTATTGCTAGGGTACCAGATGTTGTGTTGCTTCATCTCCCATTTGCCAAGTGTTTTGTAACACATATCACTGTATCCTCCATTGTTCTAGCACAGTCAAGGTGTTCAGGACATAAATGGTGCTGTTCTCTAAAAGACGTCTTGCAACTTCCATTGAAGGGTTAGTGAAGGAGTGTGTTAGAGCTTCATGGCTCAGCAGACTGTAAATCAGTTAGTTATGTCTCCTGTTTGCATCTCTACTTGACCTGTACTTACTTGTCAGAGGCCTTTGTGCCTCTGTGAAGTTGTCCCTGCAGTGGTTCTTTTTGTATTTTCTTGTTGTGGCTCAAACTCGTGGTGTGTATGCAAACTGTGAGTGTGAGATTAGATTGTTTTTACCTATGGAGGCATAAAGGACTAAAAAACCATCAAGAAAATAAAATCCCTGAGTCTTCGCTCTGTTTCCTAGTCCTTATTGCATATGGTAAGTGGCAAGTCAACAACTAGTCATTTACACATTTACTTTAACAAAATGTTAGAGGAAAAAAGTATAGACTAGGTTTGGATCTTCTTTTTCCTTGCATTTGGAGTCACTTATAAGGACATCAATGCTCGTTGCTTAATATGTGCCATAATTCTAGTGCCTCTGTGACGCTGAATAATGGACGCTGCATTTGTGAAGATACCAGCTGAAGCAGTAGTCAAAATTATGCTATTTTTTGGCACATTCAAGAGGCTAAGAATGATGGACTAGAATCATGTCTTCTGGACCTGTTTGGAGACATAACATGGTTAACTGCTGCAACCTTTTCCTCCCTCTGATCCCTCTTAGTCTATTCCCTAGCAAGACCTGATTCCAGTCTGGACTGACACATCTCAGCTTCAGAAGTTTTACTTTTTTGGGAAGTGGTATGAAGAGTAATTATTCCGAAAAGAAACCATACAAATCTTTCTTCTAGACTGTCTGAAACAAAACCAGGTATTAATGTGTTGTGCTCTTTTTGTCACAAACTGCACAGCTTGTGGTGGTCTAAAGTGGATCAGTCCTTAATAGCTTTGGGAGGAATACTGTAGCATGGAAAAGTTTTACCTTAAGAAGTTATCTTTTATCACGTACCACTGAATGTTCCCAGAAAGCCCCCAGGTTTATTACCAGAAAGTGCACAGGGCACAAGTGTTTCATTAGCAGGTAACTCCTATCTGAATGAGCTTATTCATTGCCCGTAATTGGAAAACAGCGGTTTATTCACAGTGGGGAAATCAGAGTGCCACTTGTAGCTAGTTTTAGCTTTTAAAATTGGAGGAGAGGCAGCTGCTTATGGGTGGTGGTCCTTAAGTACAGGTTTGTACCTATGTAGCCTATGTAGCCTTAAGTTGGCAACTTTCTAGGTCTTAATGAGGCTGCTCCTGGGAAATTTGTGTTAATTTGACTCACCTTTTTGTATTCTCTCAGGGAAGCTGAACTTCATACACTTAGCATAAAAGAAGAAGCTTCTTCTACATACGTAAAAAGACAAAAGCTTTTTTTATTTTGCAGCCTTGCTTACAAAAGTGAAGTCTGGTTTGTTGCCACAGAAAGGCTATAAATGGGATTGAACTGTAGAAGAGCAGCTTTTGGTCGTAGCCTCATAAAGTGCCTGTATTTGATTAATGCCTGTTTGACAATCAAAATGCCTGAAATTCATAGGATGATAATGTGGAACTGGAACTGCAAGTGTTTAATTGACACTAATCTTTGGATTCCTTCCATTAAAATGCACAGAAGCTGTTCCCTTACATGAACATTAGTTGTCATCTCTTGATAGCTCTAATCTAGTATTAGCAAATCAGTTTGTTCACCAGAGTGGGAGAATCTTGGTGACTTCAGGAATTGTTGAATGTCAGTGGTTCTCCACCTTTTTTTCACTTAATGGAAATGTCAGGTTTTTTTTGGTATTTCTTGTACTTAAGGTCTGATAATCCTCAGACAAGCCATAATGCATTGTATATTAACAATGGAATCTAAGAAAATCCACCATATTTTCTTTTGTTATTCTTAATCTATTTGTTTTAGACATGTTTGGAGGGAGAATGTAATTAGTAGCAATAACAATGTATATAAGTGTTGAATATTGTTCAAGTGATATTTGAGACTGTGCTCTAATGAGAAGTAAATTTTTACTCAAAATTTGTTTATTTTCTGTAAATATTTCACCTAAAGCAGGGTTTTTGAAACTTCCTGGCATAATCCTGATGTTAATGAAAGATAGAATAGCTAATAAATATAGATGCCTCTAAATTTCTGAAAACCGGAATATGCTATTGTGTGTTATTAATGCAGTTTTTGTTGCACAAAAAAGACACAATGTATTTAAATTAGTAAGACTCATTTTACATTTGAAATAGCAATAAACTATCTGTATGGGAATTTTACTACGGTAAAATTAAACCCTTTTATCAGATGGTATGTGTTCATTTTTTTTAGGTCTCAATCAGTAGTAAATTTTAATATAAGCTGAGGTAAGCAAAACTTAAAATGAGATGAGATCTAACCTTAAATCAGCACTTCATTAAAATTTCTGGTGAGACAAAGGAAAGATCACTCTACTCCTTGAGTGTCTTAACACAAAGATTCAATTAAAAGCCAAGCTCTTAGTTAATCTAAAATGCAAAATTATCAAGTGCAAGCCATTGTTAACATACTCTCAAGGGTATATTAACTGGGCATTAAGAGTCTACCAACAAGTCTGTGATTTTGTGCAAGTATATTTAAATTTTAAATGTGTTTGTATATCTTTTTATTATTGAGACTTGTAACTCATCCTAGTTATGTTTTTACCCTTGCTTTATCTCAGGTTTTGATAAGCAGGTACAAGAGCATGAATACCTGCTCCTTTTATTTTTCTAGTAATTCTTGATAATTGAGCAGCTGGATTGATTTTATGTAGAAGGAAAGATAAGACCATGTGTATTTTATCCTAAAATGATTTTCTGTGAAAGGAATATGGCTAGTCATGTAGTCATGTGTGAAAGTATAACTGGCTGGTTTAGAGGAAACTAGTTCCCTTTTCTTTCAATCAATTCTGTATTGCTTCACTCTAAATCTATTTTTTCCATTCACTTACCAAGCCTGATAATCTTTAGATGCGTAGGATTTAAGGCAAGATTTGTTGCTTAAGTTGCTTTTGGCATACTGTGAGGGACTGTAGTTAACAGCCTGCGCTGCTCTGATTATATAAACAACAATAAAAATCAAGTTCACTGATGATATCTGAGTTACAGCAGTTAAAAGAAACGTTTAAAAGAAAAATCCATGTTGGTATTGAAAAGGAATCATGTCTGTTAAGCAAAAAGAACTTATGACTTACATTCCTCCATCCAAATTAAAGTATCCCAAAGTGTATCAAAAACTGCATCTAAAGATAAAAGGCAGAATGTAGAACTGTAGTTAGAATGTAGGTGTATGGATGATGGGTGTATTAAAAATGCCCAAATTTATTTCAGGTTTCCATCTGTAGCTTTGATCTGTTTTTATTTTGTTTGGCTATATACCTCTGTTATAACCAATTTGTTTTTCTGTTCTGGTGTGATAATTTACTTTATAACAGATACAACTTAATATTAGCTCTGGGGGGTGAAAAGACCTTATGCAAATAGATGAGTATTTAGATTTCTTTTGCAGACTGTGTGGTTACTAGATGAAGTGCAGATTCTTTACAAGTGAGATTCCTTTGATTAAAAAATGATCCTAGGAATTGGTGATGGCTTTGCGATGAAGGTCTTGGTCTTTTAATCTAAAGTAGTATATTTAGGGATAATGGGGAAAGAAAGCTGGGCTCTCTTCTTTTTAGCAGTAGGCTTCAGTTAATAATGTAATATTTCAGTTTAGAACCCAAATGTGTAGTGTAAAACAATATTTTCTTAACTTATTGATTTAATGTTGGTAAATGCTTCACTTTTGTGGAAAAAAATTACTGAGTTCATGCAGATGTTTTATTGTGATAGATCTATTATCCAGCTATTAGAAGATAAATGACTGATCTTTTCCAGTTTCCTTGCCTCCAGAAAATTGAAATAAGAAGGCGAATATCATTTGGGCTGTATGATTAGGGCAGGTGGGGTGGCCATTAATTTAAGAGAGAAGAATCTTGGCAGCATGGGCCAACTTGCACTGTATTATCAATCAAACCTCGATGCACTTCTTGTGATGACCCAGCACTCTCAGGTTTTTGCAGCGTTAATTAGAATTCATGACAAAATAGATGCAAGGAAACATTTTGTACCCTTCATAATTTTATAGAAAATTTATTGTTATTAGAGGAACCATTTGCTTAGTGTGATTTTTTTCATTACCAACTTGTCAACTAGCATAGATAATCTGGAGAAAATATGAACTCCATAGATTGGGTGTCACTTTTGTTGATGGTTCATATAGTTTACCTTGGAGCACAGCTAATGGCTGAAGTTCATAGCAACAGCACAGAAAAATGTGGCATCCAGTGAAAGACAAATGAACCATGTTTATTGCTTTAATATAAAAAATACATAAATGGAAAGCAGCATTTGAATTTGATGAGCTCATTGCTAGTTTTGTTGGAGTGATTTATATTTTCTCCTTATACAAAAAGCTACTATTGACACAGTGAGATGGAAATTAACTGACTGTTTTTTAGAAACTGATATTTTTTGGTTTTATATTCTGATTGAATCATTTTGTTTTAATTCTAAATATTTTTATGGAATGTTGAGCATTTAATAAACAAGATTATTAGCTGTTCCACTGATGTTTAGATATATAGTAGGATCAAACTATAGGGGAAGGAGTGTCAACTAGAAAATAATCTCTTATTAAGACAGCATTAAGAAATCTTCTCAGAGAAATCTTCTTGTCACTAGTGCATTTTCAATCTGTCACATTCTTAATTTTTTTTTCCCCCTTTCAAATGAAAAGCCTAATTTTAGAAGATGCAATAGTGGAGAGAGAGGCATGATCTTAAATAGTGTCATGAATGAATGGCAATTCCTGTATTAACTTGTAAATCTGTTGACTTGCCACAGGAATAAAATGCTTGTTTGTCCAGTGCACCTCTTGCATTTCATAGCATATGTTCAATTTTTTATTAATAACTTTTAATATCTTTGTCAGTTTTCACAACTGACAGCATTCTCGTTGTAAACTTGAGTGGGTGACTGATGTGACTTGAAATAAGTAATTATTTAGAATTCTTGTATTTCAGTTTGTCTCTTTCTTTGCATTAAATTATTGTGTTTTACTCACAGTAACTGAGCTTTTAAAAAGCCAGAAATGTTTATAGGATATATTTTCAGTTTTAAACGGTCTGAGCTAGTGTTATATGTATTTTATGTCAGCTTTCAAACTAAATCACATCCAAATGAAGGAGAAATACAGCAAAATGTGTGTACTGTCTTACTAGCAGTAAAAGGCAAGTGTATCCACTCCACGATTACCATGATACCACGAAGGACATCTGTGTTGTCCTTCACGTATGAACCTAAAAGGGTATTTATATATTTATATATTAGATTGTGACTATTCTTGTAGTCATAAACTGATTTGTGTGTCAGTCTCCCTCGCCCCCGAGATGGGACAGTGACCTACAAAAAGTCTCTCTGTGTGGTCCAAAAATATCATCCCTCTCTTCTAAAGCTCCAGGTCTATCACACTGTCCTCTGCAAGTTGGCCTCAACTGCAGTTCAGAGTTCTGCATCCTGATAAAGAGATTTCCCACCTTTTCAGTCTTCCATACTCAGCTTCTATGGCCTAATTGAATACCTACTCAGGACTGATAGTGATTTGCCTGGGATTAATCACTGCCTTCTGCTGAGTTTTGAATCCCTATGTAAGCATCAACTCGCAGCAGTTTTTAATTACAGAATAGCTTACTGCAGCACGTTGTTGTGAAGAAAGTTTAGTACAACAGCATATAAAAAAGAGCTTTTGTTCTTGTGATACAGCAAAAAATAGCAAATTATTTTAGATGTAAAGTGTATTTAGCTCTATCAAATAATCAAATTTTGCTCCCTGGAATGAGTTGCATACTTGCTGGGACCAGCAGGTACCAGTATGTGGATGAGGCTGGAGACAATAAATGCAACTTCACGTTTATTCTTATTGGTAATTCATAAAATCCCCACAGAGCCTGAGACTGGTTTAGCATAATAGCAAGACTATATTCTGAGCTGTTTTCTTTCAATTGTAATGTTGGGCGCATACTAATAAACCACATGTCAGCCAAATGCAAGGAGAAAAATGTAACATATGAATATCATTGTATTTAATATTTCCCAAAAAGTACCATTTCAATAAACTGCACTTCTATTTAATTGCTTACTTTAAGTCATTGGGGAAATTTTAGAGGTTGAAATGCAGATCCCTAGTGCTCAGATAGAATATGACATTAATTTGCTGCCAGAAGGCTATACTGCATGCATGCTAACTGCATACATATCAGCTGCTTCATATAAAGTCTCATCATTTTAGTTATTTGACTTAACATGTACTCTGACACAAAGCAAATCTTAATTAAAGCAATTAGAAGAGAAAGAATAGTAGTTCCAGGCATACAATGATATGCCCCTATAAGGCATGGTCAGCTTTTGAGCTTTTCTCACAGTTTGATTAACCTGCTGACAGAATTTTAGCTGGAATTCCAATATGTGTTTCCTTCCTTTATTTTAAAAGAAAATACCCTGGCAGAAGGTTTCAGTAATCCCCACGGTGTTAGCATGTTGATCACCTATTTAATTTTCTCATAAAAACAAAGCTATTTTACAATCATAGTCAGCATGAGAATCTTTGTGTATAAATAAAGATTTATTTCTTATGGAGGCAAAAAATTGTGTGAGAACATGACAGGGCATAAATGATCCATTCCTGCAATTTTGTAATTGGTAGGGAAGTGCTGAACAACATGCGGAAATTGTGTTCTTTGAGGAAAGGTATTAATATATCTCTTTATTGTATTACTGATTTTTGTGCCTTTTTTTTTTTGCAGAGTGTATTCATAAAACTAAATATAAAATTTCCTATGACAGTTAATTTTTCTGTATTGAGAGAGAAGTTTGGATTCTGGTAATGGCAGGGAACTTGCCCCAGCTCCTCTTTCTTTTGATCAGGCCAGTGTTGATAGGAGAATCCCAATAAATGTTATTGGGTATATTGCTGTGTTTTACTTCTTGTTGTTTCCTGTTACTTCTGAGTTAATTGCAAGTTCTCTGATAATTTATTTGGAAGCTAAAACTGAAAAAAAAAAAATAAAATTATGCCTACGTTGCTATGTCTTCAGGGCTGGGAAGTAGGATTTATGTGAGTAATAGAAACAGCAAGTGTTTTCTCTGTTCTAATAATGTTACCCCAATTCTATTTTGAGTAAGATACCATTTCTATGGACTTATTTTTTATTGTTGTTGTTTTGTTTGTTTTTGCTGAATAGAAATAATTCAAAATTGCTGAGAATTGCTAGTATTAATTCTGATTCTCAATGTTCGATGAACTGTAGAGGGAGTACTGACCTTCTGGTTTATATTTTGTTTTCTAGCTGGTAGCTGGGAGTGTTGTGATGGCATTTGAGGAAGTGTGTCCAGATAGAATAGATCTGATTCACAAGAACTACCGAAAGCTCTGCAACTTGTTGGTTGATGTGGAAGAGTGGGGTCAAGTTGTTATTATTCACATGTTAACTCGATATGCACGTACGCAGTTCATAAGCCCATGGAAGGTAAGTTTATGACTTTTAAAAGTAGTATTGTGAGCCTACATTCTGAATTATTTCCATTGTTGGATGTACTTAGTCTTTTAAGATGCATTTCTATGGGGACTTAATACCAACCAGATATGTGAGTCAGCTCTTTAAGACTTCACTAATGCAAATCATCCACCCTTCTTCAGAGCATGAGAATGCTCCTTCCAAGCTATAACCTTTTCTGCTTTACCCATGGCACATCCCATGGGCAGCAGAGAGACTCCTTTTTCTGTGGTTCTTTGAGCCACGTGGCTCTTCGCTTTTACGTGAGTGAGAACAAGAAAGTTTTATCATTCTGTCCTGACACTGGGTAGAATCTACTTGCATTTTAGATATGAATACCCAGTATCACAGCATGAGAAACATCACCCTACTTGTCTAGGCTTTGCTAAGGTGCTGAGGCACTGTGTGGAGACTTGAATATAAGTATTTGAAATGTGAAATACAAAACCCATTGTATTTTCATTTTAACAATGTGAATATGAGTATCCTCTTTAGCATTTATGAAAGGAGATATTCAAAATACAAATCCTGTCACTTCTTACAACTAAAAAGGGCACAGCTCAAGAAATTGATGCTATTGTTTCAATAGGGATTTAACTCTGGATAACAATTTAAATTAAAAGACAGAGTACTTTTGGAAAGAACTGTATAAAATTGGTCCACAGTTCTAGTTTTTGCGTTTATTACAGGCTCGGGGATATTACTAATGTTAAGTTTTACCATTTAATTTGAAAACCATTCGTGTTTAAAGATGTACATTTCAGTGCAGATTATTGTGGTTTGTAATTAGCATATTAACAATTTTTAAAGATTTCTTTTTTCAGCATTGGAATAGGGAATGACACCAACTATCACTGAATTCATTCAAACTGTCTTTTAATACCATTTGCCTGAGAATCAAGACTGAAATGCCGTGGCATTCTGTGTTAATATATGTATAATTTGTTATGTGAAAATAATCATAAGGAGTTGTATTTGGACAAACAGTTAATTTCAGCCTGATTTAGTTTACGGTTATATTCACTTCTTAAATAAGCAGGTATTATAACAAGCAACAAAAATGTTTGGAGTAGAATCATACTTCTGCACTACATTGTTTATAATACCACATTTTTCCAGAAAATTGCTTAAAGTAAGGAAAGTATTTTTAGATTATGAGAGATTTAGGTTATATGTTTTCCTAATGTCCTTGAAGCAGAGTGTTTACTACATGTTCCTTATTGGAAGAAGGCAACTTTCATTCTTCCCTACGACATTTAGAAGGAATCAAAACTGTTAATCTGCTTTGCCTAAAGCTACAGTTCCACAGTTTGTTTCAGCCAGTTTTAGTCTGTGACTGGACAAAGGAAGGTTAGAAGAGGAGGATGAACTTCTGTCTTGGACTGAGAGGTTGGAGGTCTTAATGGGATTTTCCTTCTTTAAGGCTCTAATGTACTTTTTTCACTGAAACTGGATGGATGACAGTTGTTGCTGTGGCCTGTGCTCTAGGATTGTAAAAGGTTTGTGTGACAATACTGACAGCGTCAACCTAAAATTAGTCATTAGTAGAATAGTATTAATAACACTTTGTTTCCACTTTGAAAAGCTTAGATGTAAAATTTAGTTCTGTCTACCTCCTCAGGAGTTAAATGAACAGATTTTTTTTTTTGTGGTGCTAGTTGAAATGCGTGCCTTTGTCAATAGGTTCTTAAATGAACTCATCATACAACAGGCCATCTTTTGCAGTAGAAGAGATTTTTAATTTAGTTTATTTGCATCATTATGGATCAGTATTTAGGCTGTTTATATGTAAATGTATGATTTGAGGAACAATTAAGTGTTGACAAAGTAGATTGCAGTCATATCAATTGCAGTGCATTTTCCATAGTTTTTCTAACTGACATCTTTGATGATAAATAGTGGATGCCAAGTCAAAGCCGATTATACAGTGCACTAGGAATTCATGGCGCTGTCAGGGAGAAGACCGATTGACTTTAAATTTACATATTAATGAGAAGATTTGTTAAGAGGGTGCTTGACTATAGAAAATAACAGCATATTTATAGGGCACGACACTTTATAAATAAAGCTGATACAGGAAAATGGAAATTAAACCTATCAGATTAATAAATTCGAGGCTGCTAAAATGCATATTTGCATTTTTATTCAGTAAAATTTACCTTACTTTTTGAGAAACATATGTTGCTTTTGTTCAAATTGAGCTAATTCCTAGCAAGTAATGGTGTAATGGTTTAAATTGATTTCTTTTGCATTTAGAAATCTAAGGAAAAATTTGGAATACATACCAGTTATGGAGAAAGATGTTTTTTTAAGCAATATGCTTAAAGTTGTTACAAAACTTTAATCAAATTACCCATTAACCAAGAATACTTAGTTTTATATTCCTATTTTTAGCTTCTTTGAAAGGTATAATTTTTAATTCCAGTTGTAAATGCTGTGAGGAAGAATATCCTTGGTTTATGCTATCTGTTTTAAAGTAGTTACATGTGAATATAGTTTCAGAATAACCTTTTTTTCTTTAACATGTGTTAACTGGAATGAGAGCATGGCACTCATATTGGGAATACCTGCTTGGGACTAGAACCAGCAAAAACAATTTCAAGTTTGTTGGGAAACAGAATACATGATAGCACATAAAACTGTGATGAATTCCAGCATAAATATTTTGCCCTGCTCTTGTTGCAGAAGGTGTTGGGACTGCCAAGTTGTTTTCAAACATCTGACCGATAACAGCTTGCAGCTTATTCTAAAATAAAGTTGTTGTTGGTTTCAATGAATACATTGAGTTGCAGTCTAGCAGCTCAGAAACTGATTTTTGGGCTGTTCAGCCATCCTTGTTTCTGCAAGATAAGGATCGCAGGAGATAGTGGCTGCTTCAGCTGTCCTGATGCGTAAATTTAACACCAAGCGCGTGTCCCATCTGGGAGGGGTGTCTTCTATAAACAGCTGACTTGGTCAGAAGTGCTGACAGTCTTTGTATAGAGCGAAATGGAGCTGGGAAGTGTAGTCTTGCAAAAAAAACAGTGACTCTCAGGGCTGCTCAGCTTCATTTCGGACAATTGAACATTACATAAATAAACTCTCTTGATGTTCAATTAAGATCGGAAAAAAATGGTGAATTCATATTGATCATGGACTTCCGTTATAACAAAGTTGCTGATAAGGACTTCTAAGAAGCTTACATTTTTAGGATTAATTATAGAAGTATTGCTCAATTTAAAGTGCTCAGAATTTACTAAGAATAACTGATGGCATGGGAGGGAGGGAAGGAGGAATTCAGCCTGAAGAAAATAATCTAAAAGAATAAGGAATTTTACAAGAAAAATGTGAAGTATTTGAATGTGTGTATGCCCTAAACCATGAATTGTGAAAAGGAGCCCAGCTCTCAGTGAATTACAGGAAGAAACAGATTGAAAATATTTATTTTGATTGATAGCTCTGACAAAATGTTGAGATCCCTTCTGACTTCAGCTGTTCTGTGATCTCTTGTCTTTTGTTAAATGCTTTAAAATGTTTCCTGCTCTTGCGGTATTTTCTTAGTATCTTTTAGTGAGGAATTCTTAGTGTGTTCCACAAAGGTCATGGTTATGTGTGATACAATTCAGTGTCTAATGGCTACTTAAGTCAACTCAGCAGTGTCTAATACTGCTTTAAATATTTTGTTGTTGTTGTTGTTCCCCGTGTTGGGGTGCACATTGAGTGAACTGTAATTGTGAACAATAAAGCTTCAAGCACAGCACATAGGAAATACTGTCTATCCTTAACTGTTGTAGAACTTGTTAACAGTGTAATGAGCATCCTGAATCAGTTGTTCTGGTTTACTGCGGGAGAGCTTAATAAAACTTCTAAATCCTCTGCTGAGAGGCTGAGAACAGAATGGAAAGGTGTATTCAGGGTAATAGCCTCCTATTAACTAGGTTACCCAGACAAAGTAGTAAAAATGAAACAAGCTAAAATATTTTAAAAATATTTTGTATGTATATCATTCATTTAATAATGAATCAGCCTGAATATACCTTTCCCTTCTTTTGTTCTCCAACTCTCAGTAGAGAATCTAGAAGTTTTATTATACGGTCCCACAATAAGAAGATGAATATGGAGACATAGATACGTATTTAAGAAACATTCAGAAAAGCATTCAATCTTTTAGGATAAAGTTAATCATGGTATGTTATGTATTACTGAATTGACATGTCATCTACAGTCCATTGTAGACCTCAGTGAAGTTTCTTTGTAGATATATCAGATGATAGTTTCACTGATTATTCCATTTTATTTTTTTCCACTGCCCTAAAAGATTGTGAGGCCAGAGAATTTTCTTTCCCAGAGATCAAAAGCACTCATCTCACCTTCAGCTTCCACTAAGCTGTCCTCTTCAGACACCAGAAAACCGCATACATCAGTAGATTTACTTAACCCTGATTTGGGTGATACAAACAAAAGATTAAATTTAGGAAAACTAGTTTACAGTGAACTTACGTGTTATGCTGCTTATTTCTTCCATTCTTAATGCACCTATTAGAATACTCAATCTGAATCAGGGCAGTATGGATTCAGTTACTGCTCCCTTTTTGTGAGAGTGCAGTACTCCCTGGCCAGGTTCTTTTAGATATGCATGAAGTGGGGTTAATGTTTAATATCAGAAGCACTTACTTGAAGATATTTAGTGAAGCGTTTGGGTCATAAAATGGACTGGCTAGCTATTTTACTGTCACAGCAGTTTTGTTTATTCCTATAGTTAATTATAGGGGGTTTTTTTCCTAATAAGGTGAGAATATCTTAACATATAGATTTATAACAAAAGATTACCTCAAGTTGGTTGTGAGAAGTTGATTACTTGAAATTCTAAGCAAAACTTTATGGTCATTGTGAATATAATCCAAGACTATTTTCATGATCACTGTATAATAGCCTCTTCTGTCACTGAAAGGGAGCATTATTGGTTTTCTACCGTTACTCCATCTTCCCCCTCT